ACACTGTGGAAACCGTATCATTTGAAGGTATAGTTTAAAGGGCTAGGGTTGGCACAGAGAAGATTTGAGGGAAACATGATTGTATTCCCCAAACATTTGAAAAAGTTTCATACTGAAGAGAGTGGAGACATAATTTCATTGTGTTCCTAGAATCCTTGGTGGGAAGATACATAAAACTTGATTTCAGTTCATTTAGAGAAAATTTTCTAAGAAATAGAGCTTCCTAAAAATGGAATGGGCAGATTTGGCCTATTATACCCAAATTAAAAAAAAAAAAAAAATTGTGTGCTTGTATCTCAGTCTTATATCCAGTCTTTGAATTTAGGAATTTTATGAACCTAAAGCTGTGTGGGGCTGTTGTTTTGGTAAAGAATGTGTGATAAGAGAGAGATTGATAAATGATGTTCAGCCTTAGGGTCAGAATAACATCTGATAATTCGCCTACTTGTTTCTGGGCAAGAATACATGTAATTAAGTACTTAAATATTAAATACTGTAAGTATCTCCTTGTGCAAAATGAGAAAAATACTTTCTTCTCCCATCAGGATCACTATATAGTTTTGCTGCTTAAATGTTCCATCACTTGGTATTAAATGCGCAGGTTTGCTAGGATGGGAAGACATATACTACATTTTTTGATTGCTAAGTTTATGAATAGGACTCTTTGCTATAAACATTAAGACAACTTTTGTGTTTCTTACTGTGGATGTTGGGATTTAGAGAGAAATAAGTGAAGTTGAAGAGCCCTAACTAATCTTTAGTACTCAGATATATTCAGGTTATCATTGCAGCAGGTGCTCCTTAGCAAAGGATGTAGTCAGGGTAAAAGATGCACTGGACAGAGTTATGGCTGGAGTGAACTTGAACTTATTCAGTAAATTTGTATTTGTTTTACAGGAATTAAAAATACTTTCAGGACTGTGTTTTAACTGTTCATAATCATGTCAGGATTTGGGTTTGGGTTAGAAGAAATCGGTTTAGAAAGAACAAATGGAAGATGAGGAAGCAGTGCAACAGTACTAGACTAAAGTCTAGTCTCTAGAGTTCTGAGTTTAATTGGTTAACAATTATTAAAGGAAAGGTGGGATTCCCAAAACCAGAGTATCTTGAACACTTAGCAATTCTTTTCTGTTTCTGTAGTCTGCCCTGAGATCTTCAGGATTGATTCTGCAAACTGACTGCCCAAATACATGTTTGCTTGCTTGCTTTATTTTTTAAAATATATATATCATTTCTTCTGAATAATTGTTTTCTACTTACAGTAGCAATAAATGTAAATTGTAGAAATTATATGCACAGAAGCTACAAAATAAATGAAAACTTAACATTTCCACCACACAAAGATCACCAGTACTAGTCCTATAGTACATATTCTTCTGGATCTTTCTGTAGGTATATGTGGGCATATGCATACATCCTTAAATATTTTGCTACCAGCATAAAATAATTATATGTATACAGTCCTTATCTACGATAAGATAATTGTACACATACTGTTCTGCATTCTGCTTTCTTCAGCAAATGAATCCCACCTTTTGGTTTCAGAAATTACTTCATCTAATACCCAAATCATATTTTAAATTTCCAGTTGACCCTGAAATGCCCTCTGCAGCTAGTTTGTCCAAACTAATATCCAATCCAGGGTCATACTTCTAATTGTTGTATCTTAAAAAATTTTTTTTTCATCCAACTCAGTTCCCTTTTTATGACACTGACTTGTTGAGTACTAGGCCAAAATGTTTTCCAAGATGGCCCACCTTCTGGATTTATCTCATTACCCTGAGGTGCCATTTGGTTTGTTGCTTTATCCCTTGTATCTCCTATAACCTAGAAGTTATATCTAATGGAATCAGGTTTGTCTTAAGCATTCCATAGGTGATTATTATATTGTATACTTAATGTATCGTATTGGAAGATGTATAAAATCTGATTGACCCATTAGTGAACCATTACTAACACTAGGATGGTTCTCTGTTATAGAGTGATGACAACTTGATTCTTCTATTTATGCAGTTGTTTTACCCTTTGTGACTGAAAAGTAATCAATATGGGGTTATTTAAGCTCTATGAATGTCCAGTTCTCTGTCACACGTTCACATAATGGTTTTAGCAACTATTTATATAGTCCTTGTCTGAGTCAGTAATTTCATTAAGATTGTGAAGTTGTATTTTTCTAAAACCTGTCCTTACATCCATGGTTACATTCCTGTAAAGTCTTTCCTCAATAACTGACATGTGGTTACTCTGGATTACAGTTTCTGTAAGAGGGCAGGGTAAATGCTTACTTCTTTTAATTACCATTTTTCAAAATAAAGAATTGGTTTAATAGCTGCCTCAAGTGGTGCCAAGTGAGGGTTTTCCAAAAGCCTTTCTCTTTTTTGAGTGTCACTTTGTGCTTATAGCTTTTCATGGATCAACGTATATGTGGTTTTAAAAGTTAAAGAATTTTATGTACAAAGGAAAGCTACAGTTCTCTGCCTTTCCCTTTCCTGCCTTGATTCTGTTCTCCAGGGGCATCTACTTTCAAACCTTTAAGTTCCTTATTTTATTTACCTTCTGTTTCCATATAATATGCTACAACTATTGTATTGATTTTTTTCCCCTGTCTACTTCTTATTGTGGAAATTAAAGATTAAACTCTTGTTCATCCACTCCCCTCATTTGCCTGTACATAAAACACTCACATTTTCTTCCTTCTTCACCACCTTCCCAGATTGGCCTGTCAAATTTTTATTAAATCCGCATTCAGCATTAACATTATGAATGTATAAATATTACTCGCCACTGATTACAAAACTGATTAATGTTCTTTTTGTACAATTATTTTCCTCTAAGTTATTGATCTGATTACTTAATTTTCTAATTAATTAACTTATTGATTCAATCCCAGACTTTAAGTGTAAACCTCTCAGTAAAGTCAAAACTTCTGTTTATCTTTCAGCTCCATTTTTTCTTGATAAGGTCCCTCCTGGAATCCCCCATCCTCTTTCCTCTCTAGACTGTTCTTTATGCCTGTTGTACAGTTAACATCCTAGGAAATCCTTTTTTCTATTTAGTGGATTGGATCCCCTCATTTTCTAGATCTCATGCCTTTCTCTTCTGTAATATACTCCTTAATTTTTGTGAGTAAATCTACCAGGAGATTTCTGAGGATGGATGGGGGCAAAATTGCTGAGATCGTCTACCTTCATACTTAATTAGAAGTTTGGTTGGAAATGAAACTCTAAGTTGTTAATCATTTTCCAGGTTTTTTAAGGCATTGCTCCCAATTTTTATTATTGCTCCTGAAAAATCGGATGCTAAAAAAAAAAAAAGAAAAATCGGATGCTATTCTTATTCCTGATTCTTTGTATGTTACTGGTTTTTTCTCTGGAAACTTGATGATCTCGTCTTATTTCGGGTGTTCTCAATTTCATAGTGAGGTGCCTTGGTGTGGTTTGGGTATCCCGTGGGCTCCTTGGTCTAGAAACTTATCTTTCAGTTCCAGAAAATTTCTTGTTTTATTTCTTTCCTAATTTCCTTCCCTCTGTATTCTCTGTTCTCTCTTTGAAGAAATTCTATTGGATGTTGTACCTCCTTGTTTAAGCCTCCAATTTTCATGTATTATTTATTTTCCAGCTTTTTATTTTCTGGAAGATTTCCTTAACTTTAGCTTTAACCCACCAATTGAACTTTTTGTTACTGCTATCATGTTTTTCACTTGGCTATAAATTGTATAAGCACTTTTTCCTGTTCTCTGAATATTTCTTTCTTACAACATTCTGGTTTTGTTTCAGAGATACTGTATCTTCTCTTACCTCTCTGACAGTAGTGATTATGGTATTGGGAGTTGCATTCTCTCTTTTTTGAGCATTGCTTTGACGCCCCTGTGGCCAGAGGCTTTGCTCGCTTCCTGGTGATCCTTGAGTGTCAGTGTGCCAATTGTATTTATGAGGGAGGAACTGAGAAAGTGAAGGGAAGCTTTGTGTGCGTGGGCAAGAGTTACTGCTTGGTGGATCTAGAAGCAGAGGATGAGCAGGAGCCCTGGGGTTTTGTTGTTTAGTTGTCACAATCTGTGAGTCCTTTGGTTTGGGCCTCTTAGTTTCCTGGAAAGGAATCTTTCAGGGGTGTAAGTGTGGGTGTCTGTGTTTCAGAAGCCAATTAGGAGCAGAGGGCTAGAGCTATCACTGTTGAGTGTAACACTTTAACTAAATCCTGTCTTTTCAGCCATGCCTGAGGTTCTGGGATCCAGAAACTCTAGTTCAGCATCTCCAGAGAGTAAACCTTCCCACTGCTATGGTGATAAATCATCACCTCGCTGTGCTGGCTGAGGAAAAGGTTGTTGCAGATTTGACTGTTTCTATGCAAATTTAACTCAGCCTCCTCTCTTTAGTCCCACTTCACGTCATAGCTTTTAGAAGTACGTAGGTTTCCACTTTTTGAGCCTTTCTACTGTTCTGTAATAATAATAACAATAAGAATAATAGATAATGCATGTATGTACTTTGCATGTATTAACTCATTTAGACCTGTGAAGTAAGTACCAGTAGTATTCCCATTAAATAGGAAAATGAGGCATGGAGAGGCCAAGCACCTGCCCATGTGGCACAGCAGGAGGGTGGAAGACTCAAGATTTGAATCAAAGCAGTCTATCTTGAATCCAACACTGCCTTTCAGTACAGACCAGCTTGCTTCATATTGGTGACCCTATTTCTACAAGCAGTTAGGTTTCTCTGCTTGCTAAATTAGTTATGTCGAGGCCACTGACTTTCTGCCTTCCAAAATTCTGATGATGCCTATCTGCTTCGTGTCCTCTCCCATTCTCTTTGTCTCTGTTTTTTATACCTATTGTATTGCTTCACTCTCATTTTGGGAACAGAGATAAATGTTTGTGTTCAATCCATATTTTTAATTGAAATTTCTCAAAATTCTTACTACTTTTCTGTTTCATGCCTTGTTTTGTTGACTTTGTTTTTTTTTCTTGACACCTCCATGACTTACGTACGCTCCATTGTTCCCAGGTTGCCGGACAGGTGAAGCCAAATTGACAAAAGGATTTAATCTAGCTGCCCGGTTCATCATTCACACGGTGGGACCTAAATACAAGAGCCGCTACCGCACAGCTGCTGAGAGTTCCCTGTACAGCTGCTACAGAAACGTGCTTCAGCTGGCCAAGTACGGCTTACTCACTTCCTGGAAGCAGCATGCTGTATACTGTGAAAGGCCCCAGCTTCAGAATGAAACCTAGCTGTGGAAGTCAGTTTTGAGGGATTTAAATCACATAAGAGGACTCTGAAGATAAAATTAATTATCTTCACACACTTAGCAGGATAAAAGGAGTGGATTTGGGTGACTAAAGAATTTAACCTGTTCCCATTTTACTCAGTCTTTACTTGGAATATATTTCCCCCAAATGATACAATTATAATATTGATGTAATTACTAAAAAGTGCAAGTGGATTACCTGTTATAATAGATTTGTTGAGGGGGTAGGGAAAGAGAAGTTGAGCTGCATTTTTAAATTATTTACATATGTATGTATTACGAATGTTGGTGGTTTGTGTTTTCTGTTTGATTGCAGAGAGCAATCAATGTCTTCTGTGGGATTCTGTGTCATCAATTCTGCAAAACGAGGTTATCCTTTAGAGGATGCAACACACATAGCACTTCGTAAGTAACATTGGAGATGCTGTGCATTCATTGAGCACTTTGTAAGTAGGATTGGGATGCCGTACATAAATTGAGTCTTACAGATTTTTTTTTGTAACTAGTTAAGTAGTTATAGCTGAAGAAGATCTCTTGATGAACAGATCATGGCATCCTGGAAAGAACTTTGTATTAAGTTGCTGAGCTCGATTTACTTTCTCAGGTTGACGTTTTCTCCACTTTTCTCCTACAGACTTGCCTATTAAATTGGGAAATGATACCAGGCCAAGAACTATGGCCAACGCATTGGGTATTTGAATCAATATTCAGAATAATTATAACAGGCTGTAACAATGAATCCAAAAGAGATTTCATAATATAATATTTATATAGCACTTTGTAGTTGAAACAGCAGCTTTCACAGGTGCTACTTGAGTATAAATCCTTGCATTGAGGTTTAAAAAAGACTGGGCTCAATCATAATGAGACAGAATGTCATATATGTGATATAAAAATAGGATGTTTAGCTCGAGAGAACCCATGATCTCACTGTATTATATGCAGGTTCAGACCACATCTACACATTTGTATGTAGTTCTGGGTGTCCTGTCTAATATGAGACACTGACAAACTGGAGAGCAAACAGTTTGAAACATTAGTGGTATTTCTCCTAAAGAAGACCATGCATTGTTTCAGCATATATGGTTCTCATCTTCGAATGTCTAAAGGAGTCTCATTGTAAGCTTATTCTGTGCTACATTTTGAGAGCAGTGTTCTGAACCATTTTGGGAGCCATCGTAAATTAAATTGAGCATCAGCTGAAGGAAAGCTGTGGACCCTTTCCCCAGAGGAATGTACATATAGAGGGAATTTGTGTGCAATTTCAGGAAGCTCATAGATTCTGGTAAGGATTGTAGATAAGACCTCCAATGGTAGAAGGCAGGTCAAAGACTATGTCACAAAGAAAGAGACTTGGTCCCACTTGAGATAGGACTCTGTAATGGAAAGGTATTTTAAGTGAACTTCTTGTCACTGGGACTATTAATGCGGAAGCTAAATGACCATCTGTTGCAGATACTCCTCATTGAAGAGGAAAACTACACCAAATGATCTTTAAGACCCCTTTCTATCTCTAGAATTTAAAGAGGAGGAGCTGAAAGCCTTATATCCACCAAAAAATCACAGAGATATTCCAATGTATAAAATTATTATTAGCCTATAAGTCTATAGCCTAGAATTTAGGGTCAGTTATGACATAAGTAATCTTATTTAATAATTAGCTACTTCTAAGACTTAAGATTTAGAAGTCAAAGATCTTATAGTAAATTTAATATTTTATAGTTAATGATTTATATATATTAGACTGAGCTTCTTGAAGAGCAGAAGTCTTTTCATCTTTGCATTTCCAGTGCTTTCATATGTCAGGAATGCTTTACCTATGATACTTGCTTAAGAAATACATGTTTTAAAAAGGCATAAAGAAGTTCCATTTTGTTTCCTCAACAGCCCTGTGTTTCAGGTGTCCATTTTACAAATAAAAAAGCTCAGAAATTTATCATGTTCTCAAGGTTATGTAGATTCCTGACTCCCAAGTCTAGTAACTTCTCTGTTATACTACATAATTCAATTATGCTTGAGGTTAGAACTACTTCAGTAGGAAACTCATATGTTATCGATACTCTGCATATATTCTGAATGGTGCCTTACCAAAGCAAAGTTCCTGCCTTTGTGTAATTCTTTTTGGCAAAGCTCTTGGCAGGTCTTGACATTCTCTGATTCCTTAGTCCTTGCCCCATCATCCCATACCTTGAGCTAAGTCTTTTTTTATGTCTCTATTTCTTATTAAAGTAATCATATAGGTCAGAATTCAAAGAGGAAGCAACATTTTATAGAAAAGCATCTGAAAAAGGAGTCCAGAAGACTGTTTTTTGATCCCAATTCTACCAGTCTCACCATCTCTGTTTCCCAAGCTAAATCACTTGATAAATCACTCGATTTACCCTAGAGGTGTTAACTTTGAGCAGTAATTGTAGTAAGAGCAGGTGAAAATCAACAGTGGCCTAAGGGACTTAGATGAAGCAATTTCTAAGAATTGAATTAGCACAAGTGAAATGGAAAACATAAAGATGGACAAGTCAACTTATATAAGGCCTCTTTGACTTATTGCACCTTAAATCTGATAGTAAAACTGTAGCATCTCATTAAAAAAAAAATACATATAAACAGTTGTGGCCTTTGCTCACACACTTTCTGAGCATTTGGGAAATCAATGGCTTGTATACTTTTGCAGCATATATGGGCCAAGAACAAATCTAATAAATGTAACTCTAAGTCCTTAGTACCAAACTCTTTCCTACTTATTAAACTATTACCAAAATTTATTTCATTTGAAACCTAAGGAATATCCTCTGATAGATATATCAAGACTGTTTGTCTTTTTTTTCTTGGTTCATGTACAGTTCAATTCTTCTCCATTAGAAGCCTAAAGAAACCTCTGCATTGAAATAAATTTATCAGGTTATTTATTAATTCAGCAAAACTTTGAGTGATTATGTAGGAGACCCTGTGCTATATAAAAGAGAATACAGTGGTGAGAAAAAGGATGACGCTGTTTGTTCTTATTGTGTTTCCATGTTGGGAATTTTAATGCCCCAGATGTCATTCTCCCCAGTTAAAGGGTTTTCACTAAAAGTTAGGTTCATGACATCCTGGTTGGTTGCAAAGAATAGCGCACAGATGAAACTCTGAAAGAAACCATTTGAATTGGCAGTTGGTACTAAAATATTATAGCCATGACATCACTCTTTGTTTTCTCCTTTTTGCAGAATTACTTTTCTTAATGAATTCTGCTGAGGGAATTCAGTTTGGTTACTCTCTGGTATTGTATTTTGTCTTGCATTGGAAATCCTACAATTGTATGCTGGGAAACCACTATATGTGAACATTAATTAAAACTTGGTGTCAGGGTGCCTGGGTGGCTTAGTCGCTTAAGCGTCCGACTCTTGGTTTCAGCTCAGGGTCGTGGGATCGGGCCCCATGTCGGGCTCCGTGTTCAGTGTGGAGTCTGCTTGTCCTTTTTCCTCTGCTCCTCCCCCTGCTCACACACGCTCGCGCACACTCTATCTCTAAATAAAATCTTAAAAAAAAAAGAAAAAACCTTGGTGTCAAAATAAAAGAAAATCCCTTTTGGAAAATTCAGTTTTAGAAAATCATTAAAGCAGAATAGAGAGAGAAATGAAAAATAAATTTGTCACCTAACAGAGGAAGAATTCTAAATAGTTTAGTCCTTCAACAAATGGGTCTTAGATTCTCGAGATACAGTAGTAAACAAGGTAGGCAATATGTAGATAACCAGCCCCATAAAATGTTACTCCAGCTACTAATTATTTTTGAACAGTTGTTTGCCATATCTTAAGATGTGCTAGGTTCTGGTAATATTAATGTAAGATATACTTGGCCTTCAGAAAGCTCACAGTCTAGCTATAAAATGCAATGAGAAGTTCACAAATGGAGGGCCATTCAGGTTATAGAAGGAACACAAGGAAGGATGGAGTTCTGTACAAACCAGATGGCCTTGAACTGGATCTTGAAAAATGAGTAGGACTTGACTAATAGAAGATCATGGTGAATGAATGGTATTCTAGTCAAAGGTAACCATGCAAGCAGAGGCAGGATAGCATGAAAGTTAAATGGAATATTCTGAGTACAGCAAAGAAGCCAATTTGCTGAAAGTAAGGCCTGTGGGAGGAATAGTGGGAAATAGGACTAAAGGGCAGGGTTGGAGGGGTGGCCAGTTGAGGTCCAAATGTGGCGAACCTTGCTGGGGACTTAGATCCTAATCTACAAGCAGTGCAGAGCCTCAGAATTACTTAGTAAGGAGGGTGACAAGGGAAGGAAGGTAACTCAAGCAACAGTGAATATATAGACCTGGAAAAGAGAGAAACAAGAAAGCAAGAGCTTATTGCTGAAGGCTTCATGAGCATTAAGATCCTGAGAGCAGCTGGAAGAGAGAAGGAATGGATGTTAGAAATAGCAGTAGAAATAAAGGATATGAGAACCCATTGAAAATGCAGGATGAAGGAAGAGGTGAAAAAAGTGTTAAAAAAAATTCAGGATTTGAGCTTGGATGAGTGATTTGATGTTGCTATGTGATAAAATAAAGAATATGGGTAGAGGAACAGATTTTGGCTGGAAAAGATGGAGGTCAGTTTCGGACCTTCAGAGTTTGAGGCCTCTGGGTTATCTAGGCAGATATGCCCAGTAGGCAGTAGGGAATTCAGCTCTTTTATTCAGAAAACAGAATATAAAGATTTGAAAATATAAATATTTACATTGGTGCTAAGCCAGCAAATTGGTGAGCTAAAGAGAATATACATACATATATATATATTTCTTGATATTGATGATGTTGCTATCAAGAATTGATGATATCAAGAATTGATATCAAAAATTGATCTATTTATATATATATATATATCAAGAAAATAAATGTGGAGGACAGAAACGTGGAGGACAACATTTTAAAAGGTAGGGCATGGGCACATAAAACTAAAGCTAATGAAATCTCTAGTGAGGTAAGGACTAAGAAAAGGCCATTAGGATTCATTGATAGGAAATTGATAGAGAAGAATCAGGATAACATAGAAATCAAAAAAAATAATTCACCTTTGGTCAATGGGATTTTGACAGGGATGCAGTGCTGAGTAGGTCATTGAATACTGTTAACTAAATGGTCAGAGAGAGAGGCCCCAGGGAATAAAAATATACTGGGTAAGGAAGAATTGTCTGGAATCAGCATCTTCTATGGCCAGGCACTGTTCTAGAAGCTGGCAATAACGCAGTAAATAAAGCTCTTGCTGTTGAGGTACTTTCATTCTAGCAGATGGGGTAGGGAGGGCAGAGAAGATATAAAATAAGAAACTCCACAAAATGTAATATTTGCTCTGGAGGAAAGCAAGTCAGAGAAGGATTTTTAAATACGGTACTCTGGGCAGGCTTCACTGATGAGGTGTCATTGAGCAGAGACCTGACTGAAATGAGTAGTGATCCATTATAAAAATAAAACTTTGAAGAGTTTGAATTTTCTTCACACAGGTATTTCTTATTTATTGAATCATTTTTTCTATTCCTTTCCTTAGGCACTGTAAGGAGATTCCTAGAAATTCATGGGGAGACCATTGAAAAAGTAGTATTTGCTGTCTCTGAACTAGAAGAGGTATTTTGTAATTATGTTTCATTGTTTAAATCTTATTTTTACTTGTTTGCCTTTGTCTCATCATTCTCTATTTACTGAATTGTCAGCAGGCAAATCCTAGGTATCTGTGTATGTATTTGGCAGTGGGGCTTACCATCCTTTGTTGAAATGAACGCATATTAGATACTAAAAACAAGTCAAGAAGGAGCATTTTGATAATGTTTTTACTGCTAAACTGTTTTCACTTAGTGAAATCTTACAAGGTGGAGTTGTTCTGCTTTGTTCCCTGTATTAGCTCTTAAAACCTCTCGAGGCATCACCTTATAATCTGAGTACTGGGTGCTTGGGCAGTTTAACTAGAAAATTGCTGTGCTGGAAAAGCTTTGGGTCTACCTTGCCTGGAAACATGACAGCCTAGCCTAGTGACTAGCATTGATTAAGTTGTGAGGTTTATGTTTTGCTTTGTTGTGTGTAATTAGGTTTAGTATGTTTCAGTTTAATTTAGAGCCATTTTAGAAAATGAGGTGTTTTTTTTTTAACCCTTTTTATTTTTTTTATGGCTTTATTTATTTTTTTTAACCCTTTTTAAATTTTATTTAGTTTTAGTATGCTCCATCCAGTTCAGCTTGTATTATTTTGCAGTTTTGTGACCTTGGGCAAGTTACTTAACCTGTCTGTGCTTTGATAAAATAGGAGTATTAGTAGTACTTACACCACAGGAGTTTAGTGATGAATGAGTTAACACATGTGAAATATCCATTCATGGTATTAATAGCTATATACATGATATATAAATACTTTTGAAATTGCTAAAATGAGGCACATTTGCTTGTTTGCTATCTCTTCTTGTTTTATCTGGTTTACCTATTCATTCAGTGATCTTTTATTGAGTGTCTGTAGCATCCAGGTTTATTACACTAGATTCTGGAAATACACCAGTGAACAAGTGAGGGTCATTGTCCTGAAGGAATCCATTGTCTATTGGTGGGGACAGACAGTTCAGATAAGTTATGATAATTATGGTAAGTGCATTAATGGAGGTATGGAATAGATAGGAACTCCAGCCTGCACAGGGTTAGGAAATGCTTCCTATGGGAGGTGATAAACTTGAAATCATCGTAAAAAATAAATAAAGATATTCCTGGGGAGGGGCAAATGACAATAGGACAGGAGTGGCAGGACTTATGCATTCCAGGTTCGCTGACCTGAAGTTGCCAGGATGGGAGTCACGTTTAACTTGACCACCTGACAGTATCCTGACCTTTAACATAAGAACTGCTTGAGGGTCCCAGATAGCATCTAGTTGAGCTTAGGTTTTTATTCTTGATGGAGGCTTTCTTCGCTGTGTCTGGAACAGCACTAAGCTGGCGTGCTTCATTACTTCATTATTTTTCACAGAATGTCTTGCTTTTCTGACACAGGCTACTTACCAAAAGCTGCTACCTCTGTACTTCCCAAGGTCACTAAAGGAGGAATGTCGATCATTGCCATACCTACCTGCAGATATTGGAAATGCAGAAGGGGAGCCTGTGGTACCTGAACGGCAGATTAGAATAAGTGAAAAACCTGGTGCCCCAGAGGGTGAGTTCTGCTTTTCTTAATTTCCCTCTTTTATCGGGGACTGATAACCACCAATGAGGAGAAAGTTCAGTCTACCTTCGGAGAGCTCTCTATGGGTGTAACATTAAGTTCAAGACCAACTTAGATGTTTTGAGTCTTATTCTTGTTAAAATTTAGTCTTTTAAGTTAAAATATATATATTTATACACACACACACAACATCAAGTCTGTTAGGCAGTAGAGATCCAGAGGTGGATATAACAACATTTGCATCCTCGTGAAGTTTATAGTTGTATGCAGGACCCTGTTGAGACAGTAATCAAGTACATAATCATCTAAAATTTTCAGCAGCTTTAACAATATCCTCCAAAAGCCAGACCTAACATTAAATACTAAGACAAGAATACCATTAACACTTGTTTTGTTTCTTTAGGTTATATTCTCATGTAGTTTGAAGCAATGGTAGAGCACGGTAGGATGGGAGCCCTTCTGAATCTGTGCTGTATGACAGCTAATAATGATCTTCATGGGTACACGGTTGAGGTCATAACTCCTTGTGTGGAGTTATGGAGACATGCCTCACAAGCTTCAGTGCTAGAACTTGCTCTGAAAATTCGGCAGCTTAGGAATTACTATGAGATTCCTACCATGAACGCTTTTAAATGAGCATCAAGTTAAAATCTGTAGAAGGCTGCTCATCTCCTTTTTATCACCAGTACACAGCCTTAAGTCAAATGGAGGGAATTATAAGTGGTGTACCATCAGGAAATGTCTGAACCAAGCTTTGCTGGAGGGCTACCCATGTACTTTAGGGTATGCCCAAAGTTATTTGGGAATCCTCATGATCATGACCACCACTGTAGAATATAGTTTTTCCTAAATGCATAAATGCATTTTGTATGACAAGGAGTAATAATTGCAAACCCAATTTGAGATCGTAATTCTGGGCAGTAGATTAGGCTAACTCATTAACCAAAGGGTTCCTTGGGTCTACCATTTTCAAAGAGTGCTTAATTACCTCATAGATGTAAGACCTAGTATTCATAAATATTTTCAATTAGAATGTTCAGTCTGTTAAAATAGATGTAAAATCAGTTTTACTTGATTTGTTCATGGGTATTTTTCGTAAAAGCACACTCTTTTCAGCCGTTGGCCTGTCACAGTTTAAGGAGGTGAAATAGATATAAGAAAATCCCAGCTGGATGGCCCACCTGACTGGGTTTCAAGTAGTGGCATTGCCTTGGGAAGCTCCCCATGGTCCAAGGCATTTTTTGTTGTTGTTTAAGAAAAAAAAGTTGGGTTTTTTTGTTTTTTTTAAACAAAGCTAGTAAAGCAGTGGGGAACACACTAAGAGATAGATGACCCGTTCCCAAAGTACTGACTTCTAGCCAAACATAAAATGGTCATCTGGATAGATTAGAAATAATTTGTAGTGAAAACTGGAACTCTTATGGGTCAGATGATTATGTCAGCATGACCACTGCAGAAAACCAGGATGCTAAATTAGAATGAAAACGTATCTTAGTGAATGTGGATCCTACTCTGCAGTCCTGGTCCAGCCTTCTGCCATTGAGAGTTATCTGACAAAAGGACTCCAGTTTTTGTGTCAATTTATCATGTGCTCCCTCCTTAAGTAGTTCTGGATAAATGACCCCAAACATTTGTTCTTTATATTTCTCTTTCGTTAGATGCAGTGCTATAGCCCTTCTTTAAACCTACATAAAGTGTAATTAATTCTATCTTTCTGCTTATCATTACATTCTGCTCTTTCCTTCCTCAATTACACCCAGGTCATCTGATTTGATTTCATGTATTCCTAAAACTTCTGTCACACAGGGACAGGTGGTTTCTTGCGTTATTTCAGTTCTTCAGATATGAATCTGATTTCAGTTTGATTCTCAAAAATATACCCTCAACCCTAGTTTTTTTTATTATGTCACAGTCATCCCTATTGCAGCATTCACAATGTAGCATTTACTGTCAAGTTTTGTCATAAGCTCTCTATTTATAGTATTTTTGTTACAGACAGCCAAGAAGAGGAGGCTGAAGGCTTGGGAGTTGACCTCTCTTTCATCGGCTCTCATGCTTTTGCTCGAATGGAAGGAGATATTGACAAGCAAAGAAGACTGATCCTTCAGGGACAGTTATCAGAGGCAGCCCTGCAGAAGCAGCATCAAAGAAAGTAAGGCAAACCCCTTTGGCCTGATAGACATAGAAGGACAGGAGAAATAAGCAAGGAGCCTACATCTGCTAAATGATCTACATAAAACGTATTCTTATTTATTCTTCATGACAATCCATGGAGGAGGATATCGTCCCCATTTTGTAGATGCACAAATTCAAAGTTAATTTTATCGATGGTCACAGTTAGTATGTGGTGAAACCAGTGTTCAGATGCGCATCTGATTTCAGAGCTCCTGATCTTCCTGCTGTAATTTTAGTGCCTCTCGGTGAAGTTAGGTTCTAAAAGTAGACACAGGGAAAGACAGAGTTTTGAAGTTTTTACTTTACTGTATTTATAATTAAAGCATAATCTATCGTTTTGTTAAATTTAAAAGCACTTTATTTCTCCCTGATTTATCCCAAGGACCTTATAAAGCCATTCCATTTCTTTCAGGTGTTTTCTTTTTTAATTTAAATTCAATTAATTAACATAGTATATTATTAGTTTCAGAGGTAGAGGTCAGTGATTCATCAGTTTTATATAACATCCAGTGCTCTCTACATCCTGTGCTCTCCTTAATGTCCATCACCCTGTTACCCCATCTCCGCACCCCCCCTTCAGCAGCCCTCAGTTTGTTTGCTATGGTTAAGAGTCTCTTATGGTTTGTCTCCCTCTGATTTTGTCTTGTTTTATTTTTCCCTCTCTTCCCCTATGCTCCTCTGTTTTGTTTCTTAATTTCCACATTTGAGTGAAATCCTATAATTGTCTTTCTCTGACTTATTTTGCTTAGCGTAATACCCTCTAGTTCCATCCATGTCGTTGCAAATGCAAGATTTTTTTTTTTTAAGATTTTATTTATTTATTTGACAAAGTGGAAGAGAGCACAAGCAGGGGGAGCAGGAAAGGGAGAAGCAGACTCCCCACTGAGCAGGGAGCCCAGTGTGGGGCTTGATCCCAGGACCCTGGGATCGTGACCTGAGCCGAAGGCAGATGCTTAACCGACTGAGCCACCCAGGTGCCCCAAGATTTTTTTTTTTGGATGTTTGAGTAATATTCCATTGTATATATATACACAACATCTTTTTTATCCATTCTTCTGTCGGTGGACATCTGGGTTCTTTCCATGGTTTGGCTGTTGTGGACATTGCTGCTATAAACATTGGGGTGCTCGTGTCCTTTTGGATCACTATATTTGTATCTTTAGGGTAAATACCCAGTAGTGCAATTGCTGGATCATAGGGCAGCTCTATTTTCAACTTTTTGAGGAACCTGCATACTGTTTTCCAGAGTGACTATACCAGCTTGCATTCCCACCAACAGTGTAGGAGAGTTCCCCTTTCTCCTATGTTCGCCAACATCTGTCCTTTCCTGACCTGTTAATTTTAGCCATTCTGACTGGTGTGAGGTGGTATCTCATTGAGGTTTTGATTTGTATTTCCCTGATGCCAAGTGATGTTGAGCATTTTTCCATGTGTCTGTTGGCTATTTGGATATCTTCTTTGGAGAAATGTCTGTTCATGTCTTCTGCCCATTTCTTGCTTGGATTACTTGTTCTTTGGGTGTTGAGTTTGATAAGTTCTTTATAGATCTTGGATACTAGCCTTTATCTGATAAGGCATTTGCAAATATCTTCTCCCATTTTGTAGGTTGTCTTTTGGTTTTGTCGACTGTTTCCTCTGCTGTGCAAAAGCTTTTTTTTTTCTTTTTTCTTTTTTTTGAAGATTTTTATTTATTTATTTGAGAGAGAGCAAGAGACAGAGATAGAGAGAGCACAAGCAGGGACGAGAGGGAGAAGCAGGCTCCCTGCTGAGCAAGGAGCCCAACGTGGGGCTTGATCCCAGGACCCTGGGATCATGACCTTAGCCAAAAGCAGACGCTTAACCGACTGAGCCACCCAGGTGCCCAAGCAAAAGCTTTTTATCTTGATGAAGTCCCAATAATTTGTTTTTCCTTTTGTTTCCTTTGCCTTTGTAGATGTGTCTAGCAAGAAGTTGCTGCGGCCAGGGTCAAAGAGGTTGCTGCCTGTGTTCTCCTCTAGGATTTTGATGGATTCCTGTCTCACATTTAGGTCTTTCATCCATTTTGAGTCTATTTTTGTGTATGGTGTAAGACAATGGTCCAGTTTCATTCTTCTGCATGTGGCTCTCCAGTTTTCCCAACAGCATTTGTTGAAGAGACTGTCTTTTTTCCATTGGACTTTCTTTCCTGCTTTGTCGAAGATTAGTTGACCACAGAGTTGAGGTCCATTTCTGGGTTCTCTCTTCTGTTCCATTGATCTATGTGTCTGTTTTTGTGCCAGTACCATACTGTCTTGATGATTAGAGCTTTGTAATAGAGCTGGAAGTCCGGAATTGTGATGCCACCAGCTTTGGTTTCCTTTTTCAACATTCCTCTGGCTATTCGGGGTCTTTGCTGGTTCCATACAAATTTTAGGATTATTTGTTCTAGCTCTGTGAAAAATGTTGATGGTATTTTGATAGGGATTGCATTGAATGTATAGATTGCTTTGCATAGCATAGACTCTTTTTTTTTGACTTTTACAAGAATGTATTTAGTAGCTTTTTAAATAATAGACAAACATTGTACACAAACCAAATGTCTATTAATAGGAGAAGGAATAAACAAATTGTATTATATTTATATAATGCAATACTACTTCATGATAAGAACGTATGAACTGCTGATATAGTCAACAACATTATAAATAAATAAATCTCTAGAACTCTCTGTTGAGCAAACAAGTCGGACACAAGGGTATATACTATATGATTACATTTATGTGAAGTTCAAGAACAAGCAAAAGTAATCCATAGTGACAGAAATTAAAGAAGTGGTTGCTGATGGTGGGGAAAGATTGGAAGGGGGCACAAGGGAATTTTCTGGGTTGAAGGAAATGTTTTCTGTCTTGAGTTGGCTGTTGGTTATGCAAGTGCAAACATTGTCATAAGTCATTGAACTATACACTTAAGATCTAACCACTTCACATGTAAAAAATTTCCCTCGCTTATTAAAAAGTTGAAGTTTTAAAAGATACATAAAATATATTCATAAACAAATTTCCCACCCCAAAATCTCTTGTGGTGGCTGTTAGTCTTAGAAAACAGCACTCTAGGATATGTGCCCACGTTCAACCTGTTCTAAAATATATTTTTAATAGAAAGGCTCTCTTTAGAACTCAGAATCTGATCTCATGTCTTCAAATGCAACAGTGTAGTTATACATTAAAGGTGAGAGGATTAAAAATAGAACCTCCTAAATTTCCCTAGAAATAGACCTGCCCATGAGGCAGCAGCAGCAAGAGCAGTGGCAGCTAGAGCTCAGGACTGATCTCGGTTCCCATCTTCCCTCAGCCTGTAGCATAGACATTTTAACAATATTTGTTCTTCCAATCCATGAGCATGGAACGTTTTTCCATTTCTTTGTGTCTTCCTCAATTTCTTTCATGAGTATTCTGTAGTTTTCAGAGTACAGATCCTTTGCCTCTTTGGTTAGGTTTATTCTTAGGTATCTTATGGTGTTTTCTAAAGCAATTCCTAATAAGTCCTTTTTAAAGCATAAAGGAAAGTAGCTTATGTACTTCTGGGTAAGCTTTTCCCAGGATTAACTGTCCTTGGAAAACTAGCTGCTTTTCAAAAAGTTCTAAAGGAAAAAAAAATGATAAACTCTAAACAGTTCATATCAGCATTACTTTATAGGGTTGGTTGAGAGGTTAACATCTCATAGGGTTGTTGTGAGTACCTGGTACTTAGCAAGCTCTTGAAATTGGTCACTGCTGTTCTACTCGGTACTGAGCAAATCATGGTCTATTTTACCTTTTAGCTTTGGTATTTGCCATCCCTTTTGACTGGAATACCCTCATCCTTTAATTCCTGCCCACTTTCCAGGTTTCAGCTTAACAGTAATTGCCTCTGGAAATTTATCTTCCTGGACATAAGCCAGGATAGACGGAAGAGAAGTCTGGAATAGACGCCTCCTCCTGTATTTTTTTTTCATACCCTGTACTTAACCAAAGCATAGCATATCATTTATCACAGTATATTGCAGTGATGTGTGGTTGTTGTAAGCCTCCATCTATAAACTGGGAGTGGACTAGATGACCTCTGGAGTTCCTTACAGAATTAGAATGTTGTGTCTGGCTGAGTTTCTGGTCTTCATTTTATTCAGATTTTATTTTTAGAAATGAAAGCAAATTTGCCACTAGGGGGCAGCAATGAATAGCTTTTTCAAAGGTTGTCACAATCACCATGATAGTTTCGGTGGTTTCTAAGTTTGTCATGTGTAAGAATCATTTGGCAAATATTTTTCTTTAAATACAGTGAAGGGGCTGTCCCTCACGTGACTGGGACTTTGGCATCTGTATATATTTTGAAACTTTTTCACTTTGTGATTCATGCACTGCTAGGTCTGAGTACCTTTTTATAGTCGAAGGCAGTGGTTCGCAAACGATTTGGTCTCAGGTGCCCTTTGCACTCTTAAAAATTGTTGAGGACTCCAGAGAGCTTTTGTTTACATGGTTTGTACCTACCAATATTTATCATATGAGAAATTATTTATTAATTTATTTAAAAATAACCCATCATGGTATTATGCTGAGCGAAGTAAGTCAATCAGAGAAAGACGTGTGTCATATGATCTCAACTGATATGAGGAATTCTTAATCTCAGGAAACAAACTGAGGGTTGCTCGAGTGGTGGGGGGTGGGAGGGATGGGGTGGCTGAGTGATAGACATTGGGGAGGGTATGTGCTATGGTGAGCGCTGTGAATTGTGTAAGACTGTTGAATCACAGACCTGTACCTCTGAAACAAATAATACATGATATGTTAAAAGATAGTAGGAAGGGAAAAATGAAGGGGGGGAAATCGGAGGGGGAGACGAACCATGAGAGACGATGGACTCTGAGAAACAAAGTGAGGGTTCTAGAGGGGAGGGGGTGGGGGGATGGGCTAGCCTGGTGACGGGTATTAAAGAGGGTACATACTGCATGGAGCACTGGGTGTTATACACAAACAATGAATT